ATAGATATAATACAATAAGTGTAACCTGTCAATTGAGTCAAATAAATTATTATTATATTATTATTTCACGCTGGTATTCTGTGAGAGCGTGGTCCTTCCCCGGTCGAGCCGACCCATTCGTGCTACAACTATACATCTACTATAACTGCAGCATGGCTCTACCACGTATAAAAGTTTAAGCTAAATAAAATAACAAACGTAAATATATTTTAATGAAATAATAACTAATAAGCCAATTATAAATACTGGTCAAGTGCGAATTAGATACACGTACCCAGGGTTTCGTACCACTGTACACTATGAATTTTGACCTGCAAAAATTGTTTTTCTTTCTCCTGCTTATTTTTCTTAGTTTCATACCGTGAGTTAAAGTACTTTTGAAGTATTTTTTTAATTCAATCTCTAAAACCTTTTTCATTACTCCACTCCATCGCAGCCATACGTGCAACTCCGTGGCACACATATAATGCCGTTGTCAAATTATCGCGTTAATTCGTGGCCACACCTACATTCAACGTCCATCAACGCGATAATTAACGGCATTTCTCCGTAGCCGCAGCATTACAGATAGATAAATCACTCCATCCAAAATTTTCTTTACGTACTGCTATAGTTGCCTACTCCTTCGACACGCTAGACGCTGCGAACAAAAATGTACCTAACCTTACAAGCGTAAAGTAAATTTTGCGTTATAGCCGCGGGTCGCTGTCGGCCGCGTTACTTCAGCGTGTATTACCAGGACCGCTTATTAGGTATGAGACCGATATATCAAAACGTAACTAATAACGTTATGTTATCAAATATCATATCATATCGATAAACCTAAGTGCAAAACCGTTATCACATATCCAACCAAAACCATATACCTAACCAACGTACGAAAACGAAACCAAAACGGCCTACGAGCTAAACCGATGCGACGTCCTGCATTGATATTCATTGTTTCTTGTTCTTGCGACGGTATCATAAATTCCTATAGGAAGAGAGGATTTCTGTTTTGGTAATTTTAGTTTCACACGGTAGGTACGCAATGCACATCTGGATATAATTACCTAAAGCAAAAAGGGTCGAATTTCAAATGGTTAAAATTGCCTAATTTTTAAGTTTGTGTAGCTGTGAGAGTTGTCAAATTAAAAAAAAGAATACACTTTAATTATAGACTTTGAAATCAGACTCTGATCCTACGTCTCAATTTGAAAAAAATGGGTAACAAAATTATAGAAAAAAAAAGGATAGAATGAACGTAATTTTATTCACTACACGGAAACAAATCAGGAGATGGGCAGCAATTTTTTAGGTTTATGTCATCTAGCATCTATACTACATACCACCTTGAGAGTCAATCAGTGTTTGTTCGACAAAATATCTTTACCTATACAACATACTGGCGCTATTACTGAAGTGCGCTCAGCTCAATCTTACTAAAATAAATACGTACCTTGGTAACTGTCTTAATAAAATTAATATAAGTAGTATTTGATACAAAAGACCGTTGTCAGCTTGTAATTGTACTACTATATACTTTATGGTATGTAATGCCTTGCGTTTGCGACTTGAATGATCGACCGAATGCCCAGTACGTACGTAGTGTTTACACCCACCACTTTTCGTCATACAAAAATATAGCCGATCAGCATTTCACTCAAAGCCCTCCCGTAAAAAGTTTCACTTCAAAAAAACTGTGGTTGCCAACCCGCTTGCCAAGCGTGGCAACTATGGCAAATATCCCACCTATGATACAATCTATGAGAAGGCCTATGTGTTCAGCATTGTACTTTAATAAACTGTAACAGTGACGGTATAATTTATTACAGCATAACATTGAATATACAAAAATTATATATTAACATACATTTTAAATACTACATCTAAGATAACAATAAGATTAGAACCTCTGACTTCTAATCTAGAATAATCTATGTAATTCATTAAATACATGTTGCACTCGTAGTACAGTTCGCGGTTATGGTACGATTGTCGTTTGCACATTCAGTAGCAAACCATTACTATTGATATCGATATCTGAAAACGGTTTTCAATAACGATATGAAAACTAGGTATCGGTTACGTAACCGTTGCAGATAAGAACTGAAAACGCCCATGCTTACTGCTTATACAATAAAGATGTTAGTTAGGTATTTATAGTAGGTACTCACTTACATCTTACACTCTGAAATAAAAAATAAAGTGCTTTTAGGGTCGATCCTCATTTGCCGTTCACAGTTCGTTCTCGGTCCGCTCTCGGTCTGACTTATTATAATGGAATGGGATTTGACCGAAACTTGACTGTTACGGATAGTATGAATGCACACACATATTTTTTACTTGATAATATTTTAACAGACCGAAATCTGATCGTTAATGAACTGTGAGCGGCATTATAATGAGGATCGGACCTTAATGTTCCACCACGTTTAATAGAAAGAGTTTTCTTTTTATATACTTTAATGATTAATAAACTTTTTCTCTTGTCGAAATTCACAAGTCAAGTCAAGAACAAAATACTTTTAAGATACTTTTGCGGAAAACAAGGGCAAGGAGGAGTGAAATGCTATATCTATATCTTTTATTTTGAAAGTCAGGCTTCTTTCAAATTTTGTTCATTAGTTAATTTTTAAAAAACGTGGCGTCTAGATCATTTTTAAAAATTTGTAAAAATAATCTGAGGGGACTTATAACTGTGCTAGAAAGATGACGGTTTTTTGAAACCTTGAATAAATATTCTAAATAGGTTGATTTAAGCCTACAGATAGATACTGAAACTCAAAGTTCAAAATATCGAAGTCTAGAATTTTATGTAATTTAGAAGTGAATTCAAGCCGAATATGCTGCTTACTGTATTTTTAATAAAAAAAGTTACTCCTATAAAAAATAATTATCTATAAGTATATTATTCAAAGTAGGTACGTCCGTTGGTCTAAAATATATTTACGACGTACGTTATTGATATCCCGTAACTTATTGTACGTCCACTATATCCATTTTTGTATATAATGTGGCGTCTTATTTGCTTCCGACATCCGTATATTGGATTGTCAATTTATTAAATTATTTTGGTCTATATTAGCCAGTGTTATGTTAAAAAAAAACATAATACAATTGCACTTATACATATATAATACAACATGTACAATGTACTACTCCTAATTACCTATTAAACCCACATTGTGTCTGGTGTCTGGTGACTTAAGTAACTTAGTCTTTCAACTGCGTTGACTCTAACCGTCATACTCCATTGACTGCAGAGCTGTTTAATAAAATTAACGGCGCATTGGGCGCAATCCGTTTAAACGCAAATTTCTTGAATTTGGTATATCATATACAATAATATATATACATTTCTGAATTCTCTATGAAATTTCCTATAAAAGAGTACATAAATTTAATAAAGTCCTAAAGTAATTAGTGTAAGTAAATACTGAGTAAAGTCAAAATTGTCATATTTCTCGATGAAACAAAGTTTTTTAATAGTTCAATTTTGTTTAATTTTAAACTTAAATCTATTGTTTACAATATTTTGTGTGCAAAATCATAGGCTACAATACAATTTTTCATCATAAAACGCATTAATAATAAGCTTACAAGAACCCACAACCAACCTACACCGATTTAGAATGTAGTTCGGACCAGAGCGGCATGCGTTAATCAATAAAAATAGTATTTTTTTATTTCTTTAAAAATATATACTTAAATTCATGAAGAAGCATGTGGTTTTTTTTCCAGGACTAGTTGAAACTCTCTTTTTTCCTTACATGATTCAGTCATCTTTAAATAGATCTTGCTAAGTTTTACAAATCTCACAAAGTATTTCATAAGTACTCTTAATGTACTGTGTAAGTAATCAAAATTTTAGCCGTAAATGCCATATTTTTAAAAAAATTTATTACTTTACATATTTGAACAAACAATTTTCAACAGCGCTTGTAGAAAAATAAAGGTTCATTCATTCCCTTAAAAGCCATAAAACCATTAAAGGTACAGTCTAAAATAACGGTTTTTGTAAACAATACTCGACCATAATAGTGTCGAGTGACAAAGCCGTTCAAAGGCGGCGCAAGGTGCGCGGCGGTTATTTTACATTTCCAATTACCAAAATAATCAACATATTTCCTTCAACACAAATAATATCTACGAAATAATAAAATTTAAAATAAAAATATCTCTTCCTGAAATAAAAAATATATTATGGATATATATTTTAAAGAACCCACTTCTTAAGCTCCAAAAATATGCCACAATTAAAGTCCGATTTTTTTCCTAGTTCATTAAAACATTTTTTATACGTGGTACGAGCCATGCTGCAGTTATATTAGTAGTATAGTTGCAGCACGAATACTTCGGCTCGACCGGGGAAGGACCACGCTCTCACAGAATACCAGCATGAAATATTAGCTTAATGCTGGCTGTGTTTCGTATGGTGAGTGTAGAGAACCGGAGACGGTTTTTACTGGAAATGAGGCATTCCGTTTTAGTCCTCACGGGTGACAACGCATCTGTATTTTGATTTGTAATCGAGGGTGAGATGAGTGAGATGAAGATATCTATGGCCCGCAGCAACTACTCACAATCTGTGTGCTCGTTTGTCACCCTATCCTATAGAGAAAAAAAAACATACAAAATAAAAAGGTGTATTCGTTTCAACGACGAGAGCCGTGGTGGCTCCTGAGCCCCTGGCATCAATGAAGTTGACTGAATTGCACTCACCAAGAAATCAGCAGCATAAGCTATTTACGTCCGGAGCTACAACTATACTTCTAAATAAAAAAAGTAGAGCAATCTTGCTCTAGGTTGAAACATAACGCAACGTTACACGCTTTGCATTTTGATTTATGAATTTTGCAAAGTAAATACACATAAAATGTACATGTGCAAAAAACCGATATAAGGAATATGTGCCTGAGGTGAGGCGATTTGTGTCACATCCATCTGTCAAATGAAGCCAGTACCGATCTACCTAGGCAAAGTACAAAATGAATAATATTTCAGTTTACCTTTTAGGTATGTTGTACATTGCCTGGGTATATAATCTCGGTTTGTACAGATTACCGATAGCATATTTATTTATTCTTTTGGCAACAAACTATATACCTAATCTAATAGATTATTTCAGATGCTACAACTCCAACTGAATCTCGAAAACAAAGGGATGCTTCTTATTACGTGAATCTAAGAAGAATGTCATTAGTAAGTAGCCTATTTTTATTTATGGTCATACGCTTTTCTAAAAGGTACATAAATGTTATACTTACTGGCCCGTTGGACCAAGGGTAGTCTCTTACCTGTCTGAGCCAGGGGTCGTGGGTTCGATCCCCGCCCAGGACAAACACTTAGTGATGAACATTGTGTTTGTTCTGTATCTGGGTGTAATATATTTATTATGTATTTATTTGTAATAGCTTCGTTGATTCTGATTTCCGTAACACAAGTGCTTAAGCTACTTAATGTTATAATGGTCTCCCTGCTACACGGTGCATTCGGATAGTATAGAAAGCGTCCAAAAAAGAACCCTTAGAATACTTAGCTACAAATGTGGTCTTGGTCGCAGTCTTGTCGGTTATAGTGAGAGACTCGACAAATTTAAAATGACCTCTTTACTTATTCGCCGTAAGGAATATGACCTTATATATTTACATAAAATTCTCCACAATGAGATCGATTCCGGTTACCTCTTAAATAAATTAAACTTAATTACAAAGCGCAATCCCCGAATTCCTAGCAATACATTTTACCTGCAGACTTACAAGAATAATACTTCTTTTTACAACCCGATAATAAGAATGTGTCGACTTTACAACGAGATATCCATGAAAGACTCCGGCTTGGATATTTTTGACCCAAGATCAAGGATATTCAAAAGAGCAGTAAAAAGAGCTTAAAGTCATACACACTCCTTCACATATCACATAGATTTTAAATTTGTTGCTTGTAAATTTTTTTTGTGTTATGTAATAATGTACGGCATTAATATTGTTTATATTGTTAAGCGTAGATTTGATCTTCCCTGTAGTAAAATATGAAAATGATGTGTCAACATACTTAGAAAAACAATCTGGCACAAAACTGTTACATGTATATGTATAATTTTTAATGTATTTTGATTGTTATCTGTTTTGTTGTCCATATAATAAATAAATAAATAAATGGGAGGTTCGGGGAATAAATGAAGCGTATAATGATCTTGAATGTAGATTTATTACTGTCGAATCTATCTTAGGCTATCGTGTATATACCTACATACACTACATTATCTCGGCATCAGATCGATGTATGTGATGTCTCATTGTCTAATTCATTTTATTTTACAGAGATCCAGACGTAATCTCCCATCATACGCACCGCCAAATACTAGCATTGATGATTCATTTGATATAATTGATAATGAGAAACATAGGGATGAAACATATCTACCGTCTACGGACGACGATACTGCAAATAGTTCAAATTTAAATAACGACTTGACGGATACTCTGATGGATGATATAACGAATGATGCTGATGACTCGGATTCGAACTATAACGAAACATGCTTGCCAGATCAAAGACCAATGACTGACATCGAGACACCGCGGAATACTTTGTTGTCAGATTCAGTTGCAACTTCTAGTCCTCCTCTGCTAGATGCTGACAGCAACGTTATTATCGAAGCGAACGCAAACATTCTGGCTGATAACAGTAATAATTCAGTTATCCAAAATTCTGATTATTTAAATGTGTTGGAACAACCTCAGAACCCAATGCATAGTGAAAGTGGTCAATCGTGTCTTACTATAACTAACCAGTCCTTATCAAACGTATTGGAACAATCTCCGTACCAAATGCATGTAACACTAAGTAATCCTAATGAATGTAATCTCACAAAAAATCACACAATAACAAGCCAATCATTATCACAAGACCATACCACTCAGATACAAGACTCAGTACCTACTACGTCAGGTGGCGCTTCCAATGATGGCATTCCTAATTTTTCTAATGACAATAGCTCTGAGTTTGACGACTCTGACAAAGATCCAACGTACATTTCTGCATTCGAGAAATCCTCCAGTATCACAAGTTATACTGAAGAAACGGAAGAAGTATTGAATAAGACACATCAAAATCAGCAATTGTGTCTTAGACGTCGTAGCTTAGAGGAACCCCAGGTGAGATCTTTTCTTTATTACTTAAATTCTGAAACCATGAAGCTGCAATAATCAACATTGTATGCTCATGAATATATTTATTTCACAATATGAACATAAATCAGGAATATGAAGCTTTAGTTTCGCTACGCGACAGAAATATTTCTTTTTTTGTTTCACATCAAATCTTGAAGATAACTTTCTGATTTTTTTATTCAAATCAATTAAAACTGTACAATGTTCATGTTGTTAAAAAAATGTTGGGCATAAATATTAATTTTGAGGATTCTTAGGGAGATAACTATTTAATTTGTGACTAAAAAGGATGCCTCACCTTTAATTTTAGAATGCCTATCCCTCTAGACACTTATTGTAACAAAATACAATCACGAGAGCCTAAGTGCTTCTTGAGACATTCCGGTAACGTCCTGTAATTAATGCACGTTACTGTACCGTATGTTATCGTGCGGCAAGAATTACAGAACGTTACCAGATGTGAAAATGTTGATAATTCATAAAGCAAATTTATTCTGTAATTCATTGAAATGTTCTCTTTTAGGATTTGACAAGTTGCCAAAAGACGAAAGAGTTGAAAAGAACCAGAGCCAGGGATTATTGTTTTTTTTGTGAGGTCGATGTGCTAAATTTTGCGAGACATCTATTGCGGAATCATTGTACGGAACCCGAAGTACAAAATATTATCTCTCATCCTACGAAAAGTTGCGTACGCAAAAACCTAATAACCAACTTACGCAAAAGAGGAAACTATATTCGGAATGTTATAAAATGTGTTAAACCTATGAAAAAGAGTAATGTTTATCCACACATCGATTACTTACCATGTGAAAAATGTTTAGGCTTCTACTCTAGGAAACAATTGTGGAAACATAAGAAGACATGTCAACCGTTATCCGATACCGCCAACACTCAAGTTCAGTCTCAAAATTTTATGTTACGCAACCTAAATATTGACAAAAAACTTAAAGATGAGGTATTTCCAAAAATGAGACCTGACAAAATATCACTAGAAGCTAAAAGAGACACGTTAATCTGTGCGTTTGGAGCCCAATATATAAGGATTCATCGAGAAAAACACTTCGTAAACGTTACATCGCTAAAAATGAGAGAATTGGCTAAATTGTTACTAGAATTGAAGACGCTGAAACCGTCACTTAAAAATTTGATGGATTGTTTGAAACCTCAAAACTATGATCTAATTGTTACTGCAACTAAAAAAAGTATCAAGTTACAATTGTAAAACAGATCGCTATGGTGCTCCAACATATGCCATGAACATCAGCACTAGCCTAAAACAGTGTTGCAACATAGCCATAATGACTACATTAAAATCAGGCAGCAGTGTGGAAACTGCTGCAGTAGAAGCTGATCTAAAGACGCTAATTCATCTCATCAAGACTAATTGGAAGTTTGATGTTTCAAGCCAGGCCTGCAATGACTTAAACTTAAAAAAATGGAATAAAATTACAATTGTTCCTCTTGCGAAAGACTTAAAACTCCTTAAAAATTATCTTTGCGAAAAATCTAAGTCTGCAGCATCTAAGTTAATAGAATCCGAAACTAGCAATATTGAAGCGTACAACACTCTAACAGAGACAGTTTACTGCCGCATTCTTCTTCTCAACAGACGTCGGCCTGGTGAACTGCAACGTCTCCCACTCAGCATCTACCAAGAGAGCAGCAATGACAAAAACGCATATGAGGAATTTGACCGAGCTATTTCAAGTGCGGAAAAAGTGTTGGTAAATAGTTTTAAGCGTATTGTTATACGGGGTAAAAGAGGTCGAGGTGTGCCCGTTCTGTTGACTGACGAAGTCCAAAGTGACATCAATTTGCTTATCTCTGTGAGACGTAATTACATATGTGAAAAAAACGACTTTTTGTTTGCAAAACCCGGATCTGAAAGTACAGTTAACTGTGGTTATAAGGTCTTGAAAAAGTATGCCACTGCAAGTGGAGCTCGAAATCCTGCAGCTATTACTACGACTAAGCTACGCAAACATTTGGCTACGTTGACTCAGATGTTTAACCTTAAAGAATCAGACATTGAACAACTAGCTAACTTTATGGGGCACACACAGGCTGTCCACAGACAAAACTATAGATTACCCGATGACGTGTATCAGACGGCCAAACTATCAAAACTACTGCTGCTCATGGAGAGTGGCAAAGCAGACTCTTATAGAGGCAAATGTTTGGATGACATAAACTTAGATTTAGAACAAGATTTACTAGAAAACGCACAGGGCCACGATAATTACGACAGTGATGAATTAATAGATTACGATGCTGCATTACCAACTGAAAAATCAAAAGAAACGGAGTTTACAGACGATAACCCTGTCCTTACTCCGCAGTCAACTCTACTTAGCGATGCTACCAATGCTACACATATTAAAACAAAGAAAAAACGAAACCTTGTTCCTTGGACCACAGAACAGAAAAGTATAGTTAAAAAGTTTTTTAGCAAACATATTAAAAATAAACAACCGCCAAAACGCCATGAGTGCGAGGAACTTCGTAGCAACATACTGAAATTCTGCACAACAAAGACTGGTTAAAAATAAAAGTCTTCGTCCAAAATGCCTATACAAACAACAAATAGCCATATTCGGGAATTCTCCTACGAATTACTGTGGTATTTTTGTTTAGTTTCGTATTTTGTTTTTAAAACATTGCTGGTTGTCAAAATTCCATCTCGCTCTCTTAGTCCAACCTTATCGAATTTAATGATTGATTGGATCCATGAATAATAGACGTAAAAAGAGGATTGTTATAAGTTTTACGTGAATGTTTGTCTGTGTGGCTGCCTGTCTGTGACACCGTAGCTCCTAAAGAGGTGAACCGATTTGGGTGCGGTCTTAAGGTCATAAGCTTTTTTCATAGCTGATGAAGGGATCTCAGTAACTTATATTATCGGTTTACGTCATGCTGCACTATATTTTTACATTTTACATTTATGTACTGTACAGTACTAAACTGCCTATAAGAACTTTTGTTATGTCGTAAGCAACCCATAATTCTTTTTGAGTATAAATTACCTTCTGATTGAGTACAAAAAGATGGAGTTAATTGTAGATATTGACAGGTTTTTAAATAGAAGTTTGTTTTGTTATATTCTGACTAATAACCTAATATGGCCTTGGGAAGAAATTCATTTTAATAAAAGGTTTTACTGAATTAGTTGCCAAAGATTTGTTAATTCCTACAACAGACCGTGGCATAATTTTGCTGACATGAATAACTCCGAAAATATAATTTATTTACTTGATCGTGTTGAGTTTTGGTGCTCTCACTGCGAGTTTACTGTTTATGATCACTATCTTAAGGATGAGTGCGACTATTGTACCTAATCTGTAAGAAATTACTATCTACTTAACTTGATTTTATTTTGTGAAAGGCTATTTTTGTTAAATTATGATATGTTTGGTTTTGCATTTAGTTGAAATACAATTATAATTTTTATTCATATTGGACGCTATATTACTAAAAAACATGCATATCGTGCTTTATTTGGCGTCCGTACTGTGACCTACGCACATTAAGAACTTTCCACGCTTGTTTGCTTGCATTTAAGTTTCCTTAGTTAAACTTGTTTAAGTTGATTAATGTATAGTTGAGTATTTACCCATATACGGCCGTAAGAATATCCTAAAATATTCTCACAAAGTTTTATTTGACATTCATTTCTTTGATATCTGATGTCCAATGTTGTTGATTATTGCGTTTTACTATTTATTTATGTTGATTACTTATTTATTTAGTGCTCAAGGTATATTTTGGTATTTTTTGTCGGTTTATACTGTACTCAGTGCTATTTTTACTTTCAAATTTCTTTACGTGTCCTTAGATTTAGCTACATATAATAATACGGACATTCGAATATCCTAAAACATTCGTACAGAATGATATTTAACGTCCATACTTTTGAATTTTGTTATATTTTTATATGTGGACGTCAGATTATTAAAGTTTCATACCGCACGATATTTGACGTCCATATAACCATGAATATATTTATATTTTAATTCCTTGTGTATAAAACACACTTTAATGACCATTGCTTTAATGACATTTTTTCGCTATTGTTTTTATATTTCAGTGTAGGGATGCCATGCGGTGTAAAATAGTCACTTTTCTAGAACAGTTTTTTCACATTACACAATTCTAGAAATGATAAAACGCTTAGAACATCTTTCTTATTTCTTTTTTTAATTAATGTTGCCGTTTGTAGCGGTTTTTGGGGCACTGTGTGCGTCAAAAGTTTTGCTCTAAATTACTACCTATGTTATTTCAAGTGCCAAATTGTGTTAATTATGTTCCTTATTATAAATCTTTATTCTAAGTATCTACTTCATTGAACAAATGTTTGAAAGAAGATGCTTGTTCAATAAACGTTTTATTTGATCTCAATATTTGTTTTATTTTACATCAGTACGTATTTACAATTAAAGTAAATAATAATATATTCAATCTATAATTTATCACGTCTCGGCAATTTTTGATATTTTTTGTATTGACTCAACGAATAACTAGTTGGTAAATTAATCATGATACATAGTCTATTTTTTTTGCCGTAGACAAAAATTATATTTTCTCAATTTCACATTGCACATTCTGTACATTTATTTCATTATTTTGCACAATATACGAAACTTAAGTGACTAAAATTAAATCTAATCTGAACCAGAATGATAAAAACTATATTATTCGTGCTAAACGAATCAAATATATTTTTAATTTGACGTAAAGATGATTCGACTCGACCGGGAAGCACTACGTTCTCACAGAATGCCAGAGTAAAATCGCTGCTGTGTTTTGTATGGTGAGTGTAGAGAAATTCAAATTTAAATTCAAGTTCATTTATTCGTTGGCAATATATGGGTTACAATAGGTCTTAACAATTTAACAAAAATACTGCAATATTCTTCCTGCCGGTGTGAAAAGTAATAATTAAATACAAAATATTTTTTATTTTATTATTAAAATGAAAATTTCTGATAATTATATTAACATAAAATAATCTTATTCTTATTACTAACATCATAATAATTCACATTATAATGTGTTAAAATTAAATTATATAGTCAATTAAAATTTTGCGGTTATATTCAATAAATTTTATAGTTCTACATTAAACAAAATATCACCTATAAATAAAATATTACAAAACAGAATAACTAATAAGCGTGGCAACGTCGCACTATACAAAGGAATTGCGATAAGCAGGAGAATGAATTAAAAACTATGTATATTACGGGGATTCTGAATAATTGGTAATATGGAAGGGAGTCCCGATTGGTTTCCCTCCGTCTGGCAATATACGTATATTTGTATATCGACATATACTAAATATTCAAAAAAATGAGTTGAACACTATCTTTGAATTTGTTTAATGGACCAATATACGCTGTCATAGTTTTCAAAAATTGCCTACAAGTGGTGGACGCTATAATAATGCGAAATGAAAGGACGTAGAATCAATATCGTGATGTATATATATATATATATTTATATTGTATATAGAGGGGTGCCATTATGAGATTTCGCACCACCTAAAAATTTTGCTAGGGCCGCCACTGTTAGTTACAAAGGTCTTTTTGACACAATGCGCAATTTGTTTTATAATTATTGTTTAGACTGATCAAATGAACGAATAATGTTTCGTCCAAACATCGTTGCAGGTTCTGAACTTTCTGGATAATATTATTCTCAAAATAGTAATAAATCTTATGAACACACAACTTCTGCACTTCAAAAAGCCCTTTAAAAAAGCACATGTTATTATACATCACACCTTGATAGTCTAGATAAAATCCTTGCATCGAACGTATAATGTTATTTTATTTATTGAAACAACAGTACCTACAACCGGTTGAAGAAATTGATTAGTGGAAAATCTTTTCCACAAGACTTTTGCTTTTTACTAAATGTAATTATCTACACAGCAGCATGTAAGTTAGGTACTGTACTGATTACTAGTAATGGAATGAAATAATAAACTATCGTCGAATTAAGGACATATCACCAGATGCATAGCAACCCGGAGATAAGCATCAGTATCTCGATATCTGTATCTCGCAATGCCAACACATTACACGCAAAGTTTCTGAATATTTTCCTAACTTGCCTCTTACGACAACCATCATAGGGGCCTCATATGCCATAGTTGCCGTGCTTGGCAAGCGGGTTGCCAACCACGTTTCCTTATAATTTTGAGCTGTTATCAATACATATCTCCCGTTTCATTCCCCTTGTTGCTTCTTACAACCCCCACTGGAGAAAATGGGGTGATAGAATCTTTTTAGCCACCACTTATCATAATAAATTAAGCAATATGTAAAAAAGAGTGAAGTCACGTTATATATATATATTATTTAAATGAATACAGACACTGGAGTTTATATTATATTTGTTTTATTAAGTGTCATTGTTATTTGGATTATATGGATTGCTTTCATCATAAAGTAATAAAATCTCAGCTATTCTTTTGGTGGCCTTTGAAGCTTCATATGAATTCATATGTGATAACTTTTTTGTCACAAGTTGACCTATTTTGCTATATTTTGTGTTATCTAAACCAAAGGGATCATTTTGTATTCCTTTAAATACTTCAACTAAACTCTCAACTATGTTCTTGCAATAACCAGAGTATGTATTATTAGTAAGAATTTCATCTTCGCTGCTGCATGCTTCTTTTTCAATCACCTGAAAACAAAGAAAAAGCAAATTGATATAATTTTTTTTTATTTTAGAGTCATGCATTACATAGCAAACAGCTATGCAATACGAATTTAAAGTTTATTTAATTTAAAAGCTTGTGTTAAGATAAGTGATAACTGATAAGAAATAATGATAATAAATTAGATAATGACAGCTAGAAGTTAGAATGAAACAGTATTTATATTAGACAATGATAGATATAAATATTAGAAAAGGATAACAACAGGTTCCTATATGTTCTTGAGAGTGGTGTAGAAATGTGTTAAAAGCATTTAATTCTATTAATATAATGACATTTTAATAGTAAATAGATGTAATAATTAAAATTTCTGTTTTTTTTTTAATAATAATATGTTTTATTTCTTGAATTTAATTGTTGTATTGTGTACGTATGTATGTATACAAAAGACTAACGCTAGAAATTGTATTAATAAAATTTGTATTCGACATTTAATTTGTGACACAAAGACCTGTAAAATCGGGATATTTTGTTTAATATTTTATTTATTCTTTACAATATAATTGTTTTTTGATATTGGTATGGGCAATAAAGATATAGGTGATAAATGGAAATATGATAGTGAAAATTATCGATTGGCTTGAATTGAAATAGCATTAAGCGCATGGTTTTCCTAACAGTATAGCTTCCGGGGAAGGTTGGTAAATCGCTCAATTTGCGTTCGGGCCCCTTTTGCTGACAAAAGGGGTAGGCAGTGCCCAGTTTTGTGAATACGCCAACTACGATTTACACTCCGCCTTCCGCGTCGCGCTTCGTGCCGAATCGGCTGGCAATTTTTAGACAGGGCCAAAAAGAATACCTGACTGACTTTAGGTAGGTTTCAACATGTCCGATAAGGACAAAGGGGGAGCCTCCACCTAAACCCAAACCCAGAAGACCACCCGACCGTCCTGGTGTACTAGACCGTCCTATCGCGTACCGCGACATATTCGATCCTGAAAGGACTAGAGTAGTGTCCTCCTACTCTCAGATCCCAACAAGGAAACCCTCCTCCCCGGGTAAGGAGCCCGCACCGAGGACCGCGCTCTCGCCCATCGTACCTGGAGGTACGACTGGGCGGGAACCGTTCCCCCAACCCCAGCGGGCAAAGAAGACCCAGAGAAGGCATACGCCTCCAGAAACAGCAGCATCCCTCCAGGAGAAGAGGCATGCTATAGTACCACCAACTCCTCGGATTATTCCGAGGGAGAATCGGATCACCAACCGAAAAAGCCGATTAGAAGATCACCTCCTAAATCGCCATCGCTGACTAAAACCACCCCCCCCAGAACACCGGAACACACCAGCATGGATGCTGCTGATCTGGAGCAGGGAGGAGAAGGGTCATACGGATGGAGTGCAACCACGTATGCAACCCTGGCACCTAGCACATCTGCCGGACACTCACCATCCGCGCCTACCACCAACCCTTCAGGCCGGCCATCGGACGATGGTCAGAGGCCTTCCACCAGCTATGCCCAACTGGTAGCTGCCCCGGCAGTACCAAGGACAAAGATTGCCGAAACACCCAAACCGCCGGAAGAATCGGCGAAAAGGTACCCACCAATAGTGGCAGAGTGCTTGCCGGATTGGACGAAGCACTTCGAGGCACTAAACAAGAAACTGGGCCACCCACCGAATGCTCGTCCATTCGGCAAGGGAGTAAGATTTACCCCCCAGAGTCCGGAAGAATTCCGGACGGTACAAAAGTACCTTATAGAGATGACAGAGAAAGTACCAGCTATGTCCTGGTACTGCTACACCCCCGAGGAGGACAAGCCCACGAAAGTGGGCATTCGGGGACTACCAGTGGGCACGGATCCAACCGCGATAGAGGGGGCTATCAGGGCAAAGGGGTTCCCGATTAGATACGTAAAAGGGATCCCCCCCCCGTAGAGGCAGACCTGGGTGCCTCTACTTCGCGCAGCTGGACCACCTGAGCCTGGAGCGCCTTAACGAACTCTACCAAGTCGACGAGCTCCTCTTCATGAGAGGAGTCGTCATAGAGGCCTGGCAAGGAAGAGCGGGCCCTTCACAGTGCCACCGCTGCCAGGCCTTTGGCCACGCTTCTACGAATTGCTTCAGGCCAGTGAAGTGTGTTCGCTGTGCCGGAGACCACATAGCCAGCAACTGCCCAAGGGGTAGAGATGAGGAACCGCGATGCGCTAACTGCGCCAAGAACCATACCGCTAACGATCGCCGCTGCCCAGTCCTGAGGAGGATTGCAAGGAAGCAGGGGATCACTCTACCGGGACTACTCCCAGAGGAGCCCAAGAGGGTCCCCCAAAGTCGTCCCAGGGCCGTGGTTCAGGAAGACGGGTGGACCACCATTAGAGGAAAAGGAAGGCAACCTGCCCCCCCTCCACCCGTCACGGCACCCACAGGAACGGTGGTGCCCACCATGATTACAACTAAGGCAACCACCGGGGCGACTCTTCAGCCCCCCGCTAATGACGCCATAGAGCGCCAAACCTCGCAGAGGAGTAAGCGGGGGAGGAAGAAGAAGAAGAAGGTGCAGCCTCCTCCTCAGGCAGCAACCTCTACCCCAACCCCAGCGGTAACGATAGCCCAGGCGCAGGTTACCATGGAAGATAAGAAAGCCAGAATGGGTAGAGTGCCAGAAAGGGCTCTATCAGAAAATAGAGCCCGCTCTACACATAGAGCGCGCTCTACCCATAAACAAAGAGACGTACACCAACTCCCGAGACCAGCGCCTTCCGCACATGCACCCAGAACACCTCCAGCCGGCTTCGAGACTGCTGACGCCATCCAACGTTTGGTTGGCATAGCAATCGAGGTCGGCAGTCAAGTCCTGGCTGATATTAGAGCCGGGACAGATCCGATTACAGCGGTGATGAAGGCGCTGGCTAATCTACTGGCCCGGCACTACAGTGGAGGAGTCTAACCTGCGCCTCCTCTACTGGAATCCAGGTGGAATCCAGCAGAAGTTACAAGAACTCCGCACCGTCGCCCAACAACAAGACGTACAGGTCATCTTGCTGGGAGAGACGAAACTAAATCCGAGCACACGCATAAGGCTGCCCAATTACCATCTGTATAGGAGGGACGAGGTCACTTCTCAAGGGGCCGCTTACAGAGGGACAGCGGTCCTAGTGAGAAGGGACATCGTCCATCAAGAACTAGACCTACCGGAATACCAGACTATGCGCTCTATCGGCATAAAAATGGAGGCGGCGGGCGAGGAACTTAGGATCTTTGCAGCATACCGCCCGCCAGGGACTCCCATTTTGCTCCTCAGACGTCCGGACGGTAATGGAAGGCGAAACACCGACCATCATCGCCGGGGACCTAAACGCCAAACACCCGGCGTGGGGATCTAGACTGATCAACCCGCCGGGTCATGCGCTATTTGAAGACGCCGAAAGATACGGCTATGACGTTTTAGGTCCTGAAGAACCTACACACATTCCTACGGATCCACGACGTCGTCCGGATGTACTGGACATCGTGCTCGCTAGGAACATCAACTACCCGATAGTGGTAGAGGTGCTGTACGACCTGGAATCACAGCACCTCCCGATCTTAATTACCCTTGGCTTAAAGGCGGTGACTACGCCGCCCAGAACAGTGAAGACACGTGTCGACTGGAGGCTCTACCACAAACACCTGCAGGAGAGACCTCCAGCACACCACCCCTTAAACACAGCGGGCGACGTAGAGGCCGCAGCCGCAAACATGACAAAGGCAATACAGGAGGCCCTCAACGCTGCCTCTACGATCGTCCCGATGTCCTCCAGAAGGAGATGATCTGCCGCATAACATCTGCGTGCAGATCAAGAGAAAAAAGGGCTTTAAGGAGACTTTGGGCGCGTACTCGCTGCCCGAGAATCAAAACGAGACTGAACACCTTGTCGGAGGAGCTGTCGGTTGCAGTCCAGGCACACAGAGGAGATGCCTGGGAGCGGCGCATATGGAAGGCGGAAGAGCACGATGCGTCGCCCTACAAACTGCAGTTACGGCAGTTAACTAAAGCCAAACCTCCCGTTTGCCCGCTGACCAACAACGCGGGCGAACGTCGTTACGATGCCAAGGGGAGAGCGGATATCCTAGTCGAGCACTTCGAGGAGCAATTTATGCCGAACCCAGCAAGTGCGGAGTTCTTGGAGCTTCATGCCCGAAAGGAGAGTCGCGTACAGGAGTTCCTGTCGTCGCCCGCGCCGCCTCTTGCAGGAGAGTGGTTCATCTCCCCCGCTGAACTGCGGTGGACAGCAACCCGCCTGCAACCGAGGAAGGCGCCGGGGCACGACGGGATTACCAACGCTGCACTCCGACAGCTGCCCCATAGAGTCCTAGTAGAGCTTGGTCGACTCTACAATGGGATTCTGCGGACATCCCACTTCCCGGAGGACTGGAAGAAAGGCAAAGTAATCGTCTTGCCGAAACCCGGGAAGGACAGGCGTAGAGCTGCCAGCTACAGGCCGATCACGCTGCTACCGCACATAGCTAAACTGCTTGAAAGATTGTTGCTAAGACGCCTCCGCCCGTGCATCCAACTTCGGGCGGAGCAGCACGGATTCAGGAGGGGTCACTCTACAGCAACACAGCTGACCAGAGTGCTGCACCTGCTTGCGGCCGATTACAACCGTGGCCGCACCACGTTGGGCGTCTTTCTCGATATCGAGAAGGCGTTCGACAGGGTGTGGCATTCTGGATTACTTTTTAAATTGGAAGAACAGACCAGTGTCCCTCCTGCTATGTTGCGGCTAGTGGCGTCTTTCCTGGCAGACAGGAAGTTCTACGTCTGCGTAGAGGGCGCCGAGTCCGCAACCAGAACCATCAGAGCCGGCGTTCCTCAGGGCAGCTGTTTGTCTCCAGTCCTGTACGCGGCTTATACCAACGACATCCCTACCCTGGCAGGCAGGCTGCAAGAATGGGAGGACGACGTGGAGTTGGCGTTATATGCGGATGATAGCGCTTATTTCACCTCTTCCAGAAGAGCCCATATTGCCGCTGCCAGGATGCAGCGCCTCCTGGACCTGTTGCCACCATGTCTAGATGAGTGGAGGATGGTCGTCAACGTTGGTAAGACGACCGCTCTGCTCACTCGCCGCCTCAGGAACCTACCACCTCAATTAACCCTCAATGGCCAGCAGATCGCGTACGAGAAGGCCGTGACCTACCTTGGGTGCCGGATCGACCGGGCGCTGCGCATGACTGCGCACGTCGACCTCGTCGTCCGTAAAGCACGATGTGCGCGGGCGATGCTACGTCCGGTCCTGGCATCCAAGTTACCACTTAACACCAAAGTGCGTGTATATAAAACCTACATCAGAGCCATTATCACCTATGCTGCTCCGGCCTGGTACGCGCTTCTGAGTGAGCCTCTGAGGCGGCGACTGCAGGCCCAGCAAAATATGGCGTTAAGAACCATCGTCGGTGCGGGTCGCTACGTCCGGAATGACGTCATAGCGGCCAACCTGAAGATTGACACCATACAGGAATTTGTGGCCCGGTTGGCGCGCGGACTGTTCGACCGTGCAGACAACGGGCCACATATACATCTTAACAGCTTTGCGCCGCTACACACTCGCCCTCCAGACGGGCGACCCTATCCAAGAGAACTCCTCTCTATATCGATTAGAGAGTCGAGTAACAACCCTCAATGCCGCTGAAAGGCCAACTCCGACCTCATTAGATAACCTCCTTTTTTCGTAGTCATAACTGACTACGAAAAAACCACCGATAGCGACAATTCGTTTTTGATACTTACAACGCCATTAGAAGGCTCCCAGGACCGGTCCATAGTAGTGGACCGCGAGGACAGCACGGGTAATGGGGGCTTACCCCGAGGCCCGAAACCTCCATGTGTGTCTACACGCATGAAGAAGACATCAACGTTGCGTTCGGGAAGTTCGGGACCAGCTACAGTTTCCAGTTTTAAAGCAAAAAGGAAAAAGAAATTAGGAAAAGTGAAGTGAAAGTTATAAAGCCAGTCGAAGGAAGAGGCCCGAACACAGTTATACACAGACCTATCGTTTTAAGTACTGAATTAATAAAATATTGCTTACATTATTTTCATTTTCTTCTTTGAAGTTCTGTGTCGAGTCCTTAACTGTCCTGTTTACTCTCATTAAAAACTGACAAGGCTTCCATAAGTGCCAGTTAATTTTGTATTCCTATAAATAGAAATAATGTATTTTAATATATCTACCAATAAGTTCGCCAATACGCTTTTGGGCTGCGCGGCGGTCACTTCCTTGCCCTAAAACCCTCTCAGAAATGAGGGGAGGCCTGCGCCCAGCAGTGGGACGTATATAGGCTGTAACTTTACTTACTGTAACTTTATATACCAATAGAGCCTTGGTTGGTCAGTGGCTAAGCGCCTGCTGTAAAATTTTCAGCATCCCGGGCACCATTACAATTGTTAATGTCAATTTAAGTGCTGATTTACCACATGCTCGGCAATGTATTTGAGAAATCTGAATGTCTGAAATTTAATAAGGTATACTACTTTAATGTGAAATCTTCCAACATGCACAGCGTGCATGGAAGATGATTTAATAAAAATTCAACTGTGCTAATTATACTACCTATAATAATTAAATGTCAAAATCAATTAATAAATAATAACAATTATAATAGCCGTATTCCAAATTCAATGTGTGTATGTTTATATAATATAATGAACGTTAATAATAAATAATTATTTAACAATAATAATAATAAAATAAAATAAATGTTCCTCCTTCATAATATTGATGTGCCAAAGAGGGTCTATAGAGATACCATAAAACTATGTAACACCTTTTGTAACCTATGGAATGCAATAAAGTTATTGAGTATTGAGTGATGGTCAGTGGTCACGTCCTTGCTTCACCCCTTAGAAATGAGAGGAATGCTCAGATGTGAAACATATTGGCTGTAACTTTACTATTTTATAACAAATACCAATATCAATGTAAACAAATATTTATCATTGTAAACATCAATTTCATAAAAGGAATCCATTGCTGAAATATTGCTGGTCTGAAATCAAGTGACAAAGAGTTTTACTCTGTGTCACTTGGTTTCGAGCAACATTGAATTGTAAATGGGTGAATATATGCTTTTTGAATTCCAACTTTCTATAGACAAATTTTATATTATAGCGTATTATATTATTGTTACTGTCTTAGAATAATTACTGTATGCTTAAGTCATACAGAATATCGTCTTTTATTTGACCCAAAAAGTCAATTCACAACAATAGTAAATATTCAAAGCATTACATTTCCTGGGATTTGTTGTAAAAGCGTATACATTTTCCCATAAATGAATCACTAATTCTGTGGAGTTTAGTAACTGGTATTACAAGCTTATGTTTGTTCCTAGTGTTGAAAGTGTGGACATCTTTATTCTTATGAAAGCTATTTATGTTTTTATGTACATACATTACATTTTCATAAATATATAACGACGATGCCAAAATTAATGTTTATTTCTTTAAATTTTTCTTTAAGGGGCATTTTACAATTTTAGTTATAAAACGCCCGTACGGATCTATTTTGCAAAACAAATATGACTTCAATGTCAGTCGCATCACCCCATAGTAAGATTCCATAAGACATGGCCCTATGAAAGTAAGTAAAATAAACTAATCTAGCTGTCTAAACATTGGTGAGACCTCTAATCTTTCTTACAGCATATGCTGCAGCACTAAGTCTGCCTGCTAATTTAGATATATGGGTGCCCCATTGAAGCTTCGCGTCAATTGTAATATCAAGAAAAACAGTGGTATCCACAAGACTCAACTCTTCCCCATTTAAAAGCACATTGGTATTTGAATGTTTGACATTTAGGTATTGTAAATTTAATACATTTTGTCTTATTGCTGTTTATTAAAAGCAAATTATTGGCGTTAAACCATTGTACTAATTTTGACAGAGCATTATTTATACTGTCAAAATTAATTGACTGTCGTTCGAGTTTGAAAATTAAAGAGGTATCATCAGCAAATAATACTCTATCGTGATGATCCCCTACATGATAAGGTAATTTATTAATATAGACTAAGAACAGGAATGGGCCAAGAATCGAGCTCGAGGAACGTCCATTGATACTACTGATCCTGAAGAACTTTTACCATTGATAACGACTTTTTGAGTTATTTAAATATGAAATAGTAAGTCTAAGCACAATTTTTTGATACCATAATGTTGTAGTTTTCTGATTAATATCTCATGATGAACACAATCGAAAGCCTTGGAAATATCACAAAAAATATCTAAGGCATCTTGTGAAACCTCCCAGGCATTAAAATATATAATTTCATAAGCTTGACACCTGTGTCAGTCATCCATCGAACGATCCTTTGTGAAACCAAATTGATTTTTATGGAAGAATTTATTTTATTAAAAAAATTAAAAATTGATCTGATAAGATTTAAATTAATCAGGAAACACACCAAATTCGATACTAGTATTAAAAATAATACCATGATGCAATTAAAACTATTATGGACGCAACAACTGTAACGGACATCCTTCATAAATCTGCGGTTTTCTTTACATCAAGGGTTTTGAAATATTTTACAATATCTTGCCGTAATACTTTTTCAAATCTAAATTCTTTTAAACGGGTATTAACATTCTGTTTTAATAATGAATGGGCGACAGTCGGAGAACTATTCAATGGCTTTGTTGTCAAAATAGGTCAGTGAAATATTTCTCAAACACCGCTGCAACTTCTTGATTTGATCTAGTCAGTTTATTATTAATTTTCGATTGATAATTTGTGTTACGAGGTTCGTCTATTAATTATACTCCAGTTTCGGTCCTAATTATACTCCACGTTATTTTGATTTTATTTTTAGCGGTCTCGGTCAGCCAAATGCTTTAGAGAAGATTTGGCTGTGGAGCACACGACATTTTAGAATAATTTTTGACATATTATCTAAAAGTATCGGAAAAATTAAATTATATTAGGTACGCTAGTAATATATAAGTCAATGCATCTTTCATGGTAAAGTTCATATAATCTTCGTCTTATCTTATGAATTCCTACCGTCGTAAAATAGTTTAAAATAGTTATGAATGTATACTCCTCAGGCCTGCCTGCCTGATTATGTAATTTTATGGCCATATGCTTTAAGTAATTATGCCACTATGTTTTCTTATAATATGATCATATGCCTAAATAAACATCTAAACATATTTTATCAAAATACATTGTACAAATCATTGACATAATTGACAAGATATGGCCGTGCGAACAAAAAATTTTCACGGTTTAAGCATAGAATAAATCAGCGAAATAACTTAAATACTCATTGAACTATCACAGAACCAGTGTTTTCACTTGTGATTTTGGTTGTACCTTAGAACCTGTAGAAATATTTATTGCACCTAATTTTCAATATTTTAAAAAACAACAGATTTGAATTTTTACTATTAAAAATATTGAGTTTTGTGAAGAAATAAACGTTCTCATTTTCAAATTATAATAATAATGTTGCGCGACATAGTGGATGCCTGGTACATGGCACTAGCGCACATCTAGTTTCGAGTAGCAGAACTAATCCTTCTAGAGAACTCCATACTAGAACTTTCTATACCTAGTCGGTCGGGACCGGTAAGTGCTCGAACATTTTAGATGTTTTAGTAGAAAAGGCCCTATATATGGCCGGTAAGGACCGCGACCGAGTGAGTATTGAACTGGCGACATAACTGCGGAATACTAGCGAAGCGATATAACTGCGAACTAAAGTGATCAGTGTGATTAATTATTAGTGTGCTTTAAGTTGTAATTGATGTTCAAGTGCCAATTTTGGTAATTCATTCGGCAGTTTTTTGTAGTCACGAAACCCAAGCTCGTAACAATACTTAAGGTCGCTGCATACGTAACATGTTTTATTGCGGACGGAGCGGGACGTGAAATTTTGGAAATATCGTTTCATAGAAAATGTACGTGATAATGCATACGTAACGGATGCACGGACGGGACGTGGGACGCGCCATGAACGGGACGGGAAAAACATCGTCGGCGACGATCTTTACTCCGTCCCGTCCGGCGCGTGCCACGTCCCGTCCGTGATTCCGCTGCGTATGCACAGTCGCTACGTTGGCTCCGTAGTAATGCGCGTGCCGTACTAAACAACATGGACGACGAAAAACTAATCGAATGTTAGTATAATCTTGCACACCCAAAGTATTTGGACACAAAATATAAAAAAATTCTGTGGCAGAAAATTGAGTCGAATTATGACTCACTGCAAACGGTTAGTATAAATTATATTTGTCATTTATTGTTTTCATAGTTTTACAATAGATGAATAGATTAATAGGTAACAATAAAAGTTGAATTTGCTCAAATAAAAAGACAGGTACGTAAACAAAGTAGAATCATGTTTTACGATGTCGACATTTATTACATCAGTAGAATTAAATACAACAGAATTCAAGTAAATCTCTATAAAAAAGATATAATCAACTTTTTGAGCATTGGTTAAAATGTGTTTGTAGAGCGTTTATGGATAAGAGTGTTAGTATCCATGCATGATAAAAATGCCGATTGAGAATTGAAAAAAACTTTGTAGAGAAGTAGCAATCAATGCCAATTCTTCAAATGAAAAATCAATCTTTCACAACACTAACACGTTAGTTTCGAATCACTGTCACGGTGCGTATGCATTAAACTCCCGTCCGTGTTGACAAACAACCGTTGATTGTCGTCTTCACGCACAGATGTACGTGTAGGTATCGGGCCTCGGGGTAGCCCCCATTGCCCGGGTGTCCTCATGTCCCATCACTATGGGACAGTCCTTGTTGCCTATTCAGGCATAATGTGGTAAATCCGGTTTTTCCGTAATTGGTTAATTACGGGAAAAAAGTGGTTATCTAATATAGACAAAGTTGGCCTTTCAGCGGCATTGTGGGTTGTTACTCAACTCTCTAATCACATATAGAGAGGAGTTCTCTTGGAAGAGGTCGCCCGTCCGGTGGCCGGGTGTGTAACGGCGCAAAGCCGTTAAGGTGTTCGTGTGGCCCGTTATCGGCACGGTCAAACATGCCGCGCGCTAGCCGGGCCACGAAGTCGGTGATGTTCTCGATCTTCAAGTCGGCCGCTATTACGTCGTTCCGGACGTAGCGACCTGCTCCGACGATCGTCCTTAATGTCAGATTCTGCTGGGCCTGCAGTC